CTCTTTAGATATAAAAATAAATCATGTTATCGAATATTTTTTTTTTCTCATGAACTCTTGTAAAGTATAAAACTAAATAAATTATTTGTTTCTGAAAATAATACCAGAAATTATTATCATGCATATTCTAAAATTCCATCAAGTCTCGCTGTATCACTTCATTTTTGCCTACTGGTTTTTGCACCTTTATCTCATACAAGCATATTTCACTTTGTGATATATTTAGGTAAAATAAATAAATAAAAAATCAAGAGGCTAGTCCTAGCTTATGTGGGGTGGGCTGTGGCTGGGGTTCGGCATGCCTCAACCAAGATGTGAGTTTTTTTTTTCTTCTTTTCTTAATCCATCTGAGTTTGGGTTGAGATGAGTTGGGCTGACTGTATTAACTTTACATGAGGATTCAGAAAAAATATTTAGAATTCAGAAAAAAAAGTAAAGCAGCCATGAATAATTTCTAATTTTTTTTTTGAATATAATATATATGGAGGAAAAATATTTATCCCTTTTTTTGGGAAAAATGTTTGTGATTTTAAATGACATAAGGTTATGTCATTTTAAGAGAGAGACAGACACATAATTTTTTTATTTAAATTTTAAATTAAAAAAAATTACTTTCTTCCTCTCTTCCATGATTTCCGTTTTTTATGTGTGTATCTCTCTCCTAAAATGACATAACTTATGTCATTTAAAATGACAAACACCAAATCTTTTTTTTTTGTACAAAAATATTTATCCTTTTAAAGAACACAACATTGTATCCTTTTTAAGTAAAAAAAATGTTTTATTATAATATTTGGCCAATTAAAAAATAAAAAAAATAAACTCTGATAAATAAATAAATAAATAAATTATTAAATATTATAATAAAACAATATAATTTCACTTAAAAGGACTTCACTTAAAAAAAACAACCTAGCTTGTGTAATTTAAAAGAATAAATTTTTTCTCATATATTCATATATATAATATAATACACAACTTGTTTTTTTTTTTTTGTAAACTTGATATTGGACGAGTTGGGTATGCGAGTCAAAATGATAAAAAATAATAATAAAGAATTAATATATCTAATAAATTATAAATAATATTAAGAAATAAATAATTCCAAAATAAATTAGGTGGAGCTTAATATCATAATTGTACTTTAGATAGTATGTATATAAGATCATGCTTAGATAATAAACATTTATAATTAATTATTCACACACAAAAATATCAACTAACTAATCACACTTGAATTATAGTGGAAAAAAGTCTACCGAAAAAAATAGTGGAAAAAAATACTTATATTTTTAATTAATTAAACTAATATAATTGTAGATGTTTAGGTTTCTCTAACCTTAAAGTAACTATTCATAACTCAATAGGTGTCGATCGCAATGGTTAAAAGCAGTTATTTGAACTTCAAAGTCTATAGTTCAATTTTGAAGGAGCACTTATCGGGAGATATTTGATTTTCAATATATCTATTGAAATTGTGAAAATAATGTGTTTGTATATATAGGCAGCATATTCTTACATCAGAGTAAAAATAAGAAATTTTATACTCAATTTTAATTATTGATCCACTTGTATTCAATGACTCATATTACTAAAAAATTAGAGCCGTCAGATCTAAGTAGGATCAACGGCTAAGATTAAGAGTATAACTTATACCAATGTAAAATGATCTTGACAGGATCCTTTGACATCAGTGTCAAATTTGAAGTTTGACACCTCATCTGAGAGTCGTTAGATCAAAAAAAGATCAACGACTCTGATTTGTAAACATGTGAAACCATTGATTTTTTTTTATCTAACGCCTCTCAGATAAGATGTCAAACTTTAAATTTGATACTGATGTCAAAAGATCCTACCTCTCTCTATATATATATAGGCAGGATCCTTTGACACCTCATCTGAGAGCCATTAGATCAAAAAAGATCAACGACTCTAATTAGTAAGCATATTGATACCATTGATTTTTTTGATTAACCGTCGCCCTAATATACAGTCAAACATAGTTCAACAAATAACATGAAGAAAGAAAAACTCTTAAAATTTTATCTATGATGAATCTCAATGTACACCTTTTACCAGGTCAATTAAAAATTAATTGTAATAAAATTCTTACAAAAAAGAAGATGAAAGTTTCGAGGAATATGTTATTCTACCTATCACTTTTCAACATCGTTTGATCAGAATCTCAATTACATTTATCATTTCTCTCTTCTATTGAGATTCTGATGTAATGATGTTGAAGAGTGGTAGGCAGACAGAAAAAATGATAGGTAGAATAATTTATCACAAGTTTTGATGATAGCTGATTATAACAAATTATCATTAAACACTCATAAAAATAAAAAAAGGATTTTTTTTTTAAAATAAAAATAACAGATTTCAAACAAATTAATATTAAGCACACCTAAAAAATGGTTAAAATTAAATCAACTTAATAATTAAAAAATACAAAAGGAAAATTGTCAATCAATCAAGCTTAAAACATATACCAAATCTCAAATTTCGAAACAAGAAAATTGATCCGTATTACAAATTAATCAGAATTAAATTTCAATTAAAAAGAAAAGATTTTTTTTAATAATAAATGGTTACAACTTAATCACAATTAAACCCGCATAAAAAGAAAAGGAAAGTTTTCCCAAAAAAATAACAATAGTTAATTATAAATCAATTAATACTAAATATAGTTAAAATAAAAATAATTAAAATTCAATCAATCTAATAATTAACAAAAATTATAATTTATTTTTTGTCAAACTCAAGACACGTTCTAAATCTCAACGCTCAAAACAAGAAAATTGATGCTAATTACAAATCAATCGGAATTAAATTTCTCTTAATAAAGGGAAGTCTTAGTTATAATTGGTTTCAAATTCCATCAACATTAAAGGCCCGTTTGGATGAAATTCTTAAAAACTAACTTTTTATACATTTTTTTTAAAAGATAAAGTTATTTTACGTTAGGATATATGATTTGAGAATCACTTTTACATAAAAAAGTTGTTTGTATGTTAAAATAAAAAATATATTTTTTATATATAAAATTACAATAAAAGAGAGATAAAATATCATGATCGTGAGATAAAGATAGATAAAATAGGTATGATAGGATGAAGTTAAAATTGTATTTTAAAAATTTATATTATCTTGTAATTTTTGCTTTTTGCAAAAGCAACCAACTATTGGCTAAAAAAAAATAGCATTTTAACTTTTATTTTAATTTTTTTTAAAAAAATTGTTATTCAAACTTCTAAAAATTCTTAAAAAGACTTTTATTTAATTTTTTTTATAGGAATAAAAGCTCATCAGGCACTAAACACTTATCAAAAGTTAAAAAATGAAAAATGCATTTACCTTTTTATTTTTTTTCCTTTCTAGTTATTATGAAGGGTAAAGTGTGTTTCATTTTAAAGATTGTAAAATTATGTCATTTTAAAGATTGTAAAATTATGTCATTTTAAGAAAGAGAAAGAGATAGATAAAGGAGAAAAAAGAGTTGACAAAAAAAATAAAGATCTGGGTCCCACATCTTTGTGAGAGTGAAATAATATCAGTTGTGTCATTTAGAAGGATAAACAATTTTCCCTAAATATTGTTATATTATTTTCTTTTCAGAATTTATCATTTTACACTATCAAATTCTTAAATAAACAAGTATTAAAAGGACCAACTTACGTGACGCAATCATCTAGTCACATTTTTCAGGTAGGGATAAGTGGATAACATGATTTTAATTCCATCTACTAACCTGACAATTTAATCCAAACTAATTTTAAAAAAGGTAAGTATTTGTTTATAATTATTTTTTACAAATTATATTAAATATAATAAGTCATATACTCTTGATTGAAGCATGACCGCTCTTGATTGAAGCATGACCGATTATATTTAGTGTAGTCTGTAAACAAAAAATTTGTAAATATAATTTTTCTTTTTTAAAAATATAAGTTGGGTTGAGCAATGGAGTCAAAATTTTGTTCAACGTGAGCTAATCCGAATTCAATCAGTTCTGTTGATAGATTTTTATTATTTTCAAGCTAAATTATTTTTTATATAATAATAATAATTTATGACCCATATAAATTATTCAAATCTCTTATAACTTTAATATAATTTCATAAATAATATTATTTTTATTAAATTTAAAAATTTAATATAAGGAAGGTCATATTAAAAAAAATAAGAACAAACAAGTATCAATCAAAACTCTTAACTCGAACTAAATCAATCATGTTCATAATTTTTGTTTATCAAACGGATTGATTCCAATCCAATTGTATTTAAGCAGTTTAATTTTGATTTTTTTTTATCCAAAACTAATCCAATCAAACGTATTATCATCCGCTATTTTCATGATTTAGTGCATTTTTTGGTTTAGTTTATGGAAAAAATATTTGTTATTTTAAATGACATAAAATTATATTATAGATATAAAATTATATCATAGATATAAAATAATATTTTTTATTTAAAATTTAAATTAAAAAAAATCATCCACTTCCTCTTCAATTTTATTTTTTGTGTCTTTTTTTTTTTAAAATGACATAACTTATATTATTTAAAATAAAAAATATCAAATCCTTAGTTTATTATCAAAATTCAAACTTTAAAAATATGATTATTGGATCGACTTTATTATCGTGCCGTTTTAAAGAGAGAAAAAAAGAAGAAGAGAAGATGAAATGATAAACCCCGAATCATATAATTTATTTTTTTAATTATTGGGAAAATGTAATTAATTAATAATGTAATTCCGAAAGTACCCTTCATCGTACTGGTCCAGAGCAGAGGCCAGACCCCCAACCCCAAGTACCAGTTTTTAAACACTGCGTGAAATTAATCAATCAATCATCGTCGTTTGCTTCGTCACACACTCTCTCTCTCTCTCTCTCTCTCTCTCTCTCTCTCTCTCTCTCTCTCTCTCTCTCTCTCTCTCTCTCTCTCTCACTATATATATATATATATATATATATATATATTTGTTTGTTTGTAACTTTGTGCTACTCTCGTGCTTCGTCACTGACACACACACACTCTCTTCTCTCTCTATCGGGTTGTTAAACTGTAACCGCCACACCAATGCGTCCTCAGCAATCAGATGTGATCACCAACACACTCTCTATCTATACTCTCTTCTGCTTTGCTTTCTCAGTTTTCCTTTTTTTTTTAGTTCAATGGCATTAGGATTTGCTTCTCTGCTTCTGAATCGACCTCGATTGTTGTTGTTATTATTATTATTATTATTTTTTGATCGGTACTTTGCTCAGTTAGTTGTTAGGGCTTTTGATTGCGAGATAAATTCGTTGAGTTTGTTTCTGATGTTGTTGTTGTTGCATGGTGCAGGAGCAGCAGCAGCAGCAGCAGCAAGAGGAGGAGGAGATGGAGGAAGACGAGGAGATGGTGGTTCCCCGCTCCGATATCCCCCATGGCCCTTTGCCCATGGAAGGTATAAATAAAAATGCTCTTCGGTTTTTCGGAATATCTTTCTTTTGATTAATGGTGATGCATTTTGTTGTTGATAGTGATTGATTGATGAGCTCGGTGTATGTAGAATGGTTGGGAATGACAATAAAATTAGTGTCTCGATTGTTGTTTTTAACTAATTCATAAATGTTGTTGATGATGCATGTTTTTGTTTTTATTAAAAAAGATGCTTGTTGACGATGGTGGTGGTGGTGGTGATGACCTCAGCGAGTGTGTGTCTATGTAGAGGGTGGGAATGAAACTAAAATACATTTATAGTTTGTGTATGGCGGGTAAGGGTTCGCGGTGAGAAAGGTTTAGCTTGAGAAGAGGGCTGGTTTTGGACGAATTTTATTTATTTATTTTAATTGCTAAAGACTAAGGAAGCAAGGGTTTAATTTGTTATGGCTTACTCTTTTGAGCTCTCTCTGTACTGTGGTTTTTTTAAGTGAAGATTGGTCTTCTTATAGTATTTTAGGTGTTGGTGGGGGTTAATCTTGCTTGTTGTTAGAAGCCAAAAGTTGCTTTGCTTTGGTTACTGGGCTTGGATTAAAGCTCTGCTTGAGTGTCGTGTTACTTATGTATCTGTTTTATTGGGGAAGTGGATAGTTTAGAATTCCAAGAGTCTTTCCTCCGTGTTTCTTGCAGATCTTTTTGATTGAGGAAGTAGGTAATTTCAGTTTTAAGATTCTTTCCCCCATGTTGGATCTGTTTGATTGGGGAAGGGGGTAAGTGGTGTTTCAAGATTCTTTCCTCCATATCATGTGTGAACCTGTTTGATTGGGGAAGTGGGTAATTTGCATTTCAAAATTCTTTCCACCGCGTTGCTGTGGGCCTATTTGTTTGGGGAAGTTGGGAAAAGACAGATTTGAACTGATGACTTATGCATTACCATGGTCTTACTCTACCAGAGTTAAAAGAGCCCTGTTATTAGTTTTTCAAGATTTTTTCTCCGCACTGAATGTGGATGGGGAAGCGGGTAATTAGAATCTCAAGATTCTTTCACTCATGTTGCTTGTGGACCTGTGGATTGTCAGGGATTTTTTAAATAGGAATCAATGAGGATTTAGTTTTTTTTAATGAATGGCATAACTGAGTAATAGTTTGACATATTTTGTTGTTTTGCTTTCCCTTTCTGTTTTGTTAATAGCCCAAGCAGAAAACATGAGTTCTTTTGATGCGCCTGCGCCGATAGTCGATGATCCGCAATCTGGGCGGTTCACATGGACAGTTGAGAATTTTTCAAGTCTTACGAAGAAACTATATTCTGACGATTTCAATGTTGGGGAGTACAAATGGTATGTGGATTTCTGCCCATATTCTTCAGTTGCTAATGCTTGATATGTATATGCGTGACAAATTATGCATGTTTGAATGGTGGTCCTGATTGATATTATTTACAATGAGCAGGCGGATACTTATCTTTCCAAAGGGGAACAATGTTGATCATTTGTCAATGTATCTAGATGTTGCAGATTCAATGACTTTGCCTTATGGATGGAGTAGATATGCCCTGTTTAGCTTGACTGTTGTTAATCAAGTTGACCATAAATACTCAATCAGAAAAGGTAATTTCTCTGTCACAGGTGTTCACATTGAAAGATATTATCTTTATCATATGGAATAAGTAATGAAGAATTAAATTTGCCTGTTTTGGGTGGTGTGTCATCTCTGAGTGTGAATGTTGTAGCTTATTTATTTTATAAACTGCAGTATACTGAATTTAGTTGGAGATGGAACTCCTGAATACAAGTTCTATATTTTGTGTCTGCAATATTTTAGGAAATTTATTATGGTTTGTAGATGCTGTACACTTATGTTGTTTAATCTTATATGCTGCAAACCCTTGCTTTCTACAAGTTATTGTTAATATAGCCTAATAGTCCTACATTTTTTGTTTTTGGTTGATTTTCTGTATATGTTCCAGGTCTAATTATAGCAGCGGTCTGAATTCTGATAGAACATAAATTGAGTTTATTGTTGTTCAAGAGTTGAAATTATAAAATTTTTAGTAACATACGAATATATAGGGTTAATGGCAAATGGTCAACAGTAGTTGTTACTTGTAGTGCAGCTTATTTGCAAATGATATTTTTATTTGGAAATATTTTAAAATTGAATAATTCAATTTTCAGGTAAATGAAGAATCCAATTCACTTTTTCTTTTGTTACCCTAAAAATTTAAACTTAGTTATTTTTGCATATTGCAGAAACACAGCACCATTTCAATGCTCGTGAGAGTGATTGGGGTTTCTCTAATTTCATGCCTATTGCTGAATTGTCTGATCCTAGTAGAGGTTATCTTGTGAATGGTACATGCATAATTGAGGCTGAGGTTGCTGTACGTAAGGTTAATGATTACTGGTCACATAATTCAAAAAAAGAAACTGGTTATGTGGGACTGAAAAACCAGGGAGCTACTTGTTACATGAATTCTCTCCTTCAGACATTGTATCACATTCCTTATTTTAGAAAGGTTAGCCAGTATTCACTTTGCAAACTTTTATTCTTTTTTTATAGAAAGAAGTACCTTATGTGTACAATTGTTTGTTACAGGCTGTGTATCATATGCCTACGACTGAGAATGATATGCCATCCGGGAGCATTCCTTTGGCATTACAGAGTTTATTCTATAAGTTGCAGTATAGTGAGAGTAGTGTAGCAACGAAAGAGTTAACCAAGTCTTTTGGATGGGATTCATATGAATCATTCATGCAGCATGATGTCCAAGAGCTTAATAGAGTTCTTTGTGAAAAGCTAGAAGACAAAATGAAGGTACAATTTTTTTCATGGCAACATCTTTTAGTTTTCTTATATAGACAAAGCTGCTTTTACTTCAGATATTCTTCTATATTTGTACTTATATCTGGGAGATTATTGTATTCGGGTTTCTTCTTGGCTCAGGGAACTGTTGTGGAAGGCACCATACAGCAGTTGTTTGAAGGCCACCATATGAACTATATTGAATGCATCAGTGTTGACTATAAATCAACAAGAAAAGAATCATTTTATGGTATGCAATTTAGGATGCTGTTGTTTACTACATCATCCCATATATTCTTGGACCTTAAGGAATTTTGGGTATTTTATTATAGATCTTCAGCTTGATGTCAAGGGATGTCGGGATGTGTATGATTCTTTTGACAAGTATGTTGAAGTGGAACAACTTGAGGGTGATAACAGGTATCATGCTGAGCAGTATGGTTTACAGGTAAAATCTGAAACCTTGGGCTTTTTATTTTGGTTGTCAAGCTGTACTTCTTGCTTTGCATTAATTTACTAGTTGAATACTTTTTTTGTAGATTAGTCTTACTCTATTTTATTACTTTTTTCTTTTCTTTCTTTCTTTTGCTTAGGTTTTGCTTGAATGATTATTGTTTGATTAATTTTATTTTTTTATTTGCATTTTCCTTTTCTTATCACTCGTAAGGGTGAGCCTTGGTGCAATGGTACTGCTTTGTACCTGGTGTGGTTGCCTAGAAATGGGTATGTCTACCTGGGAAATGGATCCTCTCATGTGTTATTTAACATGACTATATCACGTGAAAAGATCTTAACCATTAATAATCAAATCAACGGTTATGATTTTGTAACTTCCTATTTTTATATTTTTTTTCTCTTTCTTTATCACCATTGATCCACCCTTGTATGGTTCGGATTCTCCCACATGACATGATCTTGTTAATTAACACATGAGAGGATCCACTCCTGTCTGCTTGTACTTTGTACGTGTACAATAAAGTTTCTAACAGCTAGGGTACATGTACAGAAGGATATGTTATACATAAACGTAAAAATATAAACAATGAAGTTATTAAACCAGAACATAAATACCATTTTCATAACATTCTAATTTATATTTTCAACAAAATTCCACAACGGTCATCAAGCAAGCTGAAGATATCTAAAGAATAGTCAAACTCTTTGGTGGGCCTTAATATTTGAAGGGGTGGAGTAGCAGTGTCTTTTATTTGGTAGCAAGCCAAAAAATGTTAGTTGGAAAACGTTGTTTGCATGAACTGACTTATACTTGAGTCATACTGATTACTGAATCATCATTCTTCATCAGAAACCAACTTGACAAAAAAAAGGGTACCCAGCTGTACATATTTGTACCAAATATGTACCTATACCGGCTGTGTATCTAGTCCTGGTAAGACAGCGATATGACAGCCTTGAAGGAGCCTTGTGCACATCTGAGCCTCCCTAGATGGTGTAATGATGGGAGCCTTGTGTACTAGTCTGCCTTTTTTCCTTTTTGTTTTTTATTATTTTACCAATATTGTTGTTTTTGGTTATTTTCGTACGTCGTCATTATGATTAATCTTTCAGGAGGCTAGGAAGGGCGTCTTGTTCATTGATTTTCCACCTGTTCTTCAGCTTCAGTTGAAACGGTTTGAATATGATTTTATGCGAGACATCATGGTAAAGGTTAGTATTAAATCATGAATCGGTATAAATTCCTCCCTTGTTCTATATACTTGTATCGTTTCAAGCTAATCAGTTACTTGAAGTAAATTAGTTATTTTCTGTACTAAATGTTCTTGAATGTTAGTATCATATGTATTTTTTTACCTTGTTTACCACGGATCATAATCCTTTTGTTGCCACACCTCTCAGTTTTATTATTGTATTTGTAAATTTTCTCTTTTTTCTATGATACCTGTAATTGGAATGACCATTAAGTTGATTGCCAACAGATCAATGACCGCTATGAGTTCCCCTTGCAACTAGATCTTGATAGGGACAATGGCAAGTATCTATCTCCTGAAGCAGACAGAAGTATTCGCAACCTTTATTCACTTCACAGGTATTTGATAATTTCACTCCAATGATCTCTGTTCACTTATATCTTGCATGTACTTCATGTCTGCTTTTTCCTATTGAGTTTCTGTTTTTGGAAATGCATGATATGCTGCAACATGAAACTAAGGTTGTTCTTGTCTGAATGAGTGGAAAGCACAAGGGTGGAAAATTTGGAATGAAAATTCCTTCAGTTTGCTTGGTACAATAAAAATGTATGAAGCTTGGAAGTGAAGTGAAACTCTTTTACTCTCTGCCCCTCTGAGTTTTCACACATCTCATAGCATGAAAGTGAAAATCAAAACCTTTGTATTCTTCATCATTTTAACTCCCCTTATTTGCCACCTAGTCAAACAAGCATTGCCTAAATAAAGTGAGAGCAGGGTTATCGTTTAGATTTGAAAATACTGAAATTGAAAGCTTAACATTCTGCATGTACATGACTCTACTTAAGAGTCTTGGAGAAAAAATAGTTGGAAATTTAAATTAAAGACACATGCACATCTGTTGACTAGGTGATTTTTTTTAGTTCTTTTACTTCCCGAGAATCCAAATGTGTGAATTTGCAAGTTTATCACACTATTGACAACTATTCTTATTATAACAGAGTACTATACATTATAGCTGTCAGTTACTATTTTTACAAGAAATAATATGGGTTGTTTGATGATGGACTTAATTCATTAATGTAGAATTCTGTGCATCCCAATAACTTTGATGTTGGCATGGTGTTTCTGTATTGCTTTGTCATCAATATGATTGTGGAATCCACAACACAACCAGTTAAGAGCTGAGCTACATGCAGAGTTTAAAATTTGAACTTGTCCGTAGCTATACAATAGGCAGGCCTTGCTAATCCAAGCCACTTAAAGACTAATAAGCTCACATTGTTACCTTCTTATGCATGTTAAATATTGAGGCTATTTGCTCATTTCCCCTGGTTTGCGTTCCTCAATGATTCATGCTTTTTAAGTGTTTGAGTTGAGGTTGTTAACTGTCGGCTTTATGGGGGATGGATGTATTCCCCTAATGCTTTAAGATTATGTAGGGTAAAAAGTTATAATTCATTGTGTAAGAGCTGTGTACAAGAACATGGAGAGATAGTCAAGAACTGGTTAGAATTAATCGATATATCTGTTGGGGACCATAAATGAATTTTTCTCATTATATTAAATGAATTTTTCTCATTATATTGGTGTAATATTTTATAAAAATAATTTACATAAATACAATACTTTTCTTTGGCTCTGTTTGGTGCAAAACTCATGGTTTTTTTAAACGGCTTTCTCTAATGGATTTTGGCTTCAATTATTGTTTTCTCTTTTTCTTATTTTTTTATTTGCATTTTTTTTTGGTTATGACCTTTTATCCTCCAAATATTTTATAATTTTTTCTGTTCATCTTTATGAATTGTTTCTGTTATAATATAAAATCATGACAAGTAATTGATGATGTAGAATTTGGATAGAAGGCACAGTCCTTTATCTTTATAAAACGTGATTTTGCTTTTAATTGATTATACACTGATGTACGTTGTCTACATCATTATTTATTTTCAGTGTCTTAGTTCACAGTGGTGGGGTTCATGGCGGACACTACTATGCTTATATTAGGCCCACTCTATCAAATCAGTGGTAAGCATCGTTTCCAAGAAAACTTTTGAATCATTCATTATTTATTTATTTATTTATTTATGGGGAAGGATATTCTTACACCGGTATAAAAATAAGAAGTCTTACACCAAATCTTGATCATTGATTTGCTTGCATATAATGACTCAAAAATCTAATAAATCAGAACCGTTAGATATAAATAGGATCAACAATCAAATTTGAGAGTGTAACTTACACTGGTATAAAATAATCCTGAGCTTTTATTTATATAACTATTGTTCCATTCTTCTAGCTGTTTATTTATTTATTTTGCATTTGTTTTTTTTTTCCTTGAAAACTGATGTGCTTGTTGATTCAGGACCATATTGACCTCTAAGAAATGATAAAAAATCTTAAGGACTTGTATTTTTGTGCTACAGTGCTATTTCTGTTATAACAGACATGACTAGTTAACACACTGATGTACACAGAATTTCACTCCAATAAAAAATTCTTAATGATAATTTTTTATGTTCTTTACTCTGAACTATAAAAAAATTTCAAAGGTGCACGACATTGGGCTTTGAGATGGAACAAAAGGTAGTATTTCAGACATTTTCAGTGTTTTCGAGCTACTGGATGATTATTTAGATGATTTGTTGGGTGTCTTTAGGAAAGGCTAACTTTTAGGCGTTCTCCTTTGTGCATTGTAAATTAATTTTGCATTTTACTATGTTTATTCTTTGTTGATAACAAATTTTTATCATAGGAGGGATAGCTAGCGTGATAGGTGTCCCCTTATACCTTCACGCTGAACCCTGGTTTTCATTAAGCTAAGTAGAGGGTATGTATATTTTTGATAATCTTGATGGGAAGGATGGCTAACAGGATAGACATTCCCTTAATTTGTAATTGATTTTTTTTATCATATCTCATTTTTCATCATCCTTTACTGTTTTTTTTTTTTTATCTGAAAACACAAAATAACTTGCTTGTTTCAGGTTTAAATTTGATGATGAGCGGGTAACAAAAGAAGATGCACAGAGGGCCTTAGAAGAACAGTATGGTGGTGAGGAAGAGGTAATTTTTTGTTAGATTGCTTTGGTGCTTCTCTCATCTATCATTGGATAACATTGTTTGGTTTGCTTTAATGTTTCTTTCACCTATCATTGGATAAAATTGTTTGTCTTATTAAATTTTCTTTTGACATTGTCATAATACTTTTTTGTATTTTTCTTCATTTTTCTTCTTGTCTACAGTTACCTCATACCAACCCCGGACTCAACAACTCTCCCTTTAAATTTACAAAGTACTCAAATGCATATATGCTTGTCTATATACGTGATAGCGATAAGGATAAGATAATTTGTGATGTGGATAAGAAGGACATTGCCGAACACCTTAGTGTAAGATGTTTGAATCATTGGTGTCTTGTGATTTTTTATTATATTTCCAATATAAAAATGCTTCACTTTCAACTTTACATTTTAGGCAAGATTAAAAAAAGAAGAAGAAGAAAAGGAGCTGAAGAGGAAGGAGAAGGCAGAGGCTCACTTGTACACCGTCATAAAGGTTGCAACTATAGCTTTCTCTTCTCAGTTCAAAATCTTCTTCTTTTAGATGCTATGGTATGCATGTTTCATAAGAGCTGGTTCAATGATAAGTTGTTATTGATTTATTGGACCCAGGTTGCACGCGATGAAGATCTTTTTGAACAGATTGGAAAGGATATATTCTTTGATCTAGTGGATCATGATAAAGTGCGAAGTTTTCGTATTCAAAAACAAATGCCCTTTATCCTTTTCAAGGTATGAACTATTGTTATATTGGTATCATGCTTCATTTGTTTGGCCATCTATATTTTGTTCATTTCATTTGTCATTCTTTGCAAAATTTTCCCCTTTTGCAATCATTTTCAAATGGCAATTGATATCATCTTTATCTCACATGAATAACATCGTAAGATTTAAATTAGTGAAGTGTAAATTTGTTTTTGCATTGACTTCCTTCGTGCTAACACACATGGCTCTTTGTCAAGTTTTAGGTGTGTGTTTATGGAAATTTGGGATTTCTTTTGCCTGAATGACATTTGCTTCTTTTCTCTTGGTGGGCTTGTGCGATAGGATTTCGTTTGGCCTCCTGGAAGTTTATTTTTCATGGATATGGCTCCTGTATTAGGCGTTTTGAGAACACGAGTGGGAATATCTTTCTCCTAGTGACATTTTCTTTTCTCCATAATTTATCTACCTTGTATATGCCCCCAGAACAATTCTAATACAGAAGGTTCAGGAAGTGGGGTTTAAACTTAAGTAAAAATTTGACTGAAAAAGAAATAATTAGATTGCAATCCCTTATGTTCTTACTTTATTCTACTCATTTTATGCTAATCCTGATAGGTTGAGTATTTTTCATTAGCTTAGAAGCTGACTGGGGATATAAGATAAGGTGGCTGGTTATGTGTAACTGAAGATGTTCTTTTTAAAAGGCTTTTCCTTAACATCCAGAGGGATTGGCATAGCCATGCTCCATTGGTGTTTTCTCTGTTGCCTTCTAAATTGTTTGTACTTCTCTTCTATTTGTCCTAATGAATTTCTTCTATCCCAAAAATGAAATCATGACCCGATAGTTTGGACTTTGATTATTCTAGAATGTTTTACTACAAATCCATTTTACAGTTTCTAATCTTGTCTTTGAGCATGTGTATGCTAGAAAGGCAATGGCCTGTTAGAAGAAGGGCCTACTAGAGCATAACAACTCTAACTAGGGATGTGAAAAAGAAGCAAAAGAACTGAACTGGATTGTGAATTGAATTGAATTACACTTAAAAAAATTAGTTTTTTACAACTAGTTCATGAACTGAACTTCTTTTTCAAAAACCAATTCATGAACTAAATTGGTTTTAAAAAACCAGTTCATGGACCGAACTAGTAAAAAACTAGTTTATAAAATGAACTGATTTTTTTCTTCTCTTTTCTTTTATTTTTAATTTTTCTTCTCTATTTTTCTTTTCTTCTTTATTTTTTTTTTTTTTTATTTCTTTATATATTTTTTATTTTTTTCTTTTCTTCCTTATGTTCTTACTTTTCATTTGGTTTAAAACTGGTTTTAAAAACCAATTCTGAACTGAATTGAACTGGTTCATAACCAGTTCTGGACTGGTTTGAAAAAATAAACCAGTCCAGCTCTCCAAACTGAATTGTTTTTTCAGTTTTTTTCAGTTCCGCAAAGACAACCGAACTGAACTGAACTGTTCACTCATAGCTCTAACCAACTGGAAGGGGATAAAGGGTGTGAGGGGAGGTTAGTTGGGGATTAACTAAATATTTAAAAGACTTTGGGAGTGAGTCACTCTCAAATGCCGTGTTACCATTTCCATTATCTTTTCTGTTTTCTCATATCATCTTTTCTGGATTGCTGATTCGTACTTCTACTTATATCAGTGTTTTAATCCATATTTTCATCTTTTCTCTTATTTTCTGTGCTGAGATTCTATCAGGTACGTAATAGGATTAACACAAATTACTTGATTTTGGTTCATGGGCCTCACAATGTCCTTTTTCTTAACATGTGGAAGTCAAGTGCATTAAATAATGCAACACCTATTCTTGTATTGTAAGAAAGATACTTTCGTATGGAACAACCTTTCTGGGGTTTTTGATGAGCACAATTTTTTTCCATCTACGTCTGAGCAGTTTTTGTTGGTTCACTACAAATATTTTTGTAAAAACAAGGTGGTCGAAATTTTGTGGCAGTTGCTTGAATGGAATAAAAATATGGTTTTCCTTGCCCATGAATATTTCATGGTGATTGCCATCTCTGTTTTATGTGGAGGGATTGGGCGGCCTACCACATTCTTAGTTTTTGTCTTGATCTTGTGTTGTTTTTGAGTATTTTTTTTGCTTTAAAGAATACTTAATCCTCACTCTTGATATGCTTTCATTGTTGAGCCTTTAATAAAATTGTGTTTTTACTTCAAGAAAAAAGGCCTCTATGAAATTGTCATTCTCTACTGAGATTGTCTTCCTAAAACTTGATACAAGTACTATCATCCAAATTAAAAGAAACCAATGGTCTACCTGAGGACTAGCATGAGATTTAAGGTCTTTTGGGTTGGCATCCTCAGTTGGATACATTGTTGGGAAAGATGTTAAGGTGGATTTTTCTTCAAATAAGTTTTTATTGAAGTTGGCTTCTGTTTTTATGATCAAATTGATCTATGTAAATTAGCTTCCTTTTCTGTTTTTGAGAGTTATGTGTTTTGTATACATGTTAATTTTGCTTGACTGCATTTTTGTTCTTTGTACGACTTAGTGTTGCTAGACTATTTTGCTACATCTAACTACAAAGATCTGCAACTCTACATCCATATTACAGCTTTCAAACTGTTATTTTCTTATTTTAAACACGACTTGTAATTCATTTGATATCTGATGAAACAAAATTTGATTCTAGATTTTCTTCATATATTTCTTACAATGAAGCTTTTATCAGGAAGAAGTTGCTAGAGAGTTTGGTATACCTGTCCTTCACCAACGTTTTTGGTTGTGGGCGAAGCGTCAAAATCACACATATCGGCCAAATAGACCACTGACTGCTCAGGAAGAAACACAAACCGTAAGTTCTTCGCTTAAATTCCAATGCTTTGTGTCCATAAAATTGCTCTTTTGCTGGCATGTATTTATATTATGTATAGTGATCTTATTCTTTCTCCTATTAATTATTCAAGGAAATCTGAACGCTGCCAGCTCTGCTTTGTACCATAATATAGTTACCTCGTTAGTGCAGTCTAATGGAAATTGGAAAGGTTTACACAAATCCAATGTTCCAAAACACCATGAAGAGAAGTGAATTTCTTCATATCTGCAAATGAAGTGTAAAATTTGCTTTGGTCTGGACTCCGGATTGTTTTCACTCATTTTTTCATGTTCTTAAATTTTTTATTTTTTTTGTTAATATGATGCGGCTTTTGAGTATGAATCTCGAAATTTGGTATCGTAAATTTATTTTGTCTGTTTTGGTATGATTAGTGATCCTCTTTGAACTTTAAACGAAGGATGTCTGATTTGTGAAAATATATTTGAACCAATAATTGTGGACTGCTGCTGTGGGAAAACATTGAAAATTCACTTCTCTGAGCTTCATTGTAAACTCCAAAAAAAAGAGAAGTTAATAGGGTGAAATTGAGACTGGGATTGAAAGTTTCATTGTTCAAAGTGCTATCTCCATTATTGAATATTTTTTAAGATTTTCTTGCTGATCATGATGTATAAGTTTGTGTTCTGATTCTTGACATGTAGGTTGGACAGATAAGAGAAGTTTCCAGTAAGGCAAATAATGTAGAGCTGAAGTTATTTTTGGAATCGAAAGGACAGGTATTTTTTTTCTTTGTAATTTCATCTTTTTTTCTGACAGTCTGTTAGTGAATTTTAAGTATATGTTCTTCTCTCTCCAACTGACTTGTAATTGACATGGATTTGTTAATTATGCGTTGCACAATGAATTAGGATTTCTGGCCAATTCCTCGTCTGGAAAAGACAAAAGAAGATCTAATGCTATTCTTTAAACTCTATGACCCTTCTCATGAGAAGCTGCGGTACTTGCTCTATCATTTACCTTTTAGAATGAAACTTCATTTAATTACTCAAATGCCTTTTCTTTTCTTTTCTCAGGTATATTGGTAGGTTTTATGTCCCAGCTAGTGGGAAGCCCATGGACATCTTGACTGGACTAAATCAAATGGCAGGATTTGCTATTGATGAAGAAATTGACCTCTTTGAGGTTAGTCAATCTGCATCTAATGTATCATTATTTTCCATGATTGCAATAAGGAAGAGCAAAAATACTCACGTTCTACCATGCACATCCAGGAAATAAAATTTGAACCTCATGTCATGTGTGAAACTGTTGACATGAATTCCACATTCCGTGCCAATCAGGTATAAATTATGAGTGATTAACTGTAGATTTGTTTTCCAGCGCTTTCTAATGTCGTTTGATGTATTTAACAGTCATCTCCAACCCAGATTGACTTTTATTGTCGCACGCCTTATTTTTTGTGACTTTTGCTTCTATCCTTGTGTTTTTGAACAGCTTGAGGATGGTGATATTATTTGCTACCAAAAGCCCCTCAAGGTTGGTAGTGGCGAGCAATTTCGCTATCCAGATCTTCCTTCCTTCTTGGAATATGTGCAAAACCGTCAGGTATGAACTATTTAAATAAGAGGATTATAATCTCTTTTTCTTGAAATTCTGAGTTGTTGTATCCTCAATTTTAATATGTCCTGTGTAATAGAATTAGTTAGAGTTGGTTAAGAGTAGTTTGTAAATATTGCTAATGATTAAATATAGCAAAATTAATTTTGGTTTTTGGAGACTAGTTTTGCATAGCCTAATTATAGAAAATAGAAAAGTGGGATGAAGAACGAAGAAATTGGATAATAATAATTCTTCTCATTTTCATGTAGAAGGCATGATACAACATACAAGTATATAAAGCTTTAGTAAATAAAACTAATTGCTAAAGAATAAGAAAATAATCGGATCAGAGTTATTTTCTGATTTCAAGAATCAAGGAAATTAAATGTTAAATAATTCAATTTAAAAAAAAAGAATAAATTAGGGAATTAGAACAGCCAAATGTATAATCTTCTGGAATTAAAACAGCTAGCTGTATAATCTTCAGCGACACGCCCCCTCAAGCTGGGCAGTAGATGTATAGACCCAGCTTGCAAATCAATTCTTCAAATTTGACTCTAGTCAATGCTTTGGTAAACACATAAGTCACTTGGGCTCCAGATGAGACATGTTTCAACTCAGTAATCTTAGCATCAATTTTCTGCGAAAGTGTATGTCAATCTCAACATGTTTGGTGTGATCATGGTGAATGGGATTCTTAACTATCCCAATGGTTGCCATATTATCGCGGTCGACTTTCATTCATGTAGAGCAACTCAACTTTAGTTCGCCCAACAGCCTTTGAATCCACATCCCTTCATAAATTCCAAGAGCTAAGGCTCTAAATTCGGCCTCTGCATTGTTCCTAGGTACCACTGGCTACTTCTTGCTCTTCCAGGTGATTAAATTCCCCCATACATAAATGCAGTATCCAGTGGTAGACCTTTTGTTATTGACTAATCCTGCCCATTTTGCATCAATGAATACTTTCAGATCCCCTGTCAGCTCCCATTTGAAGAACAATCCTCTGCCAGGAATCATCTTCCAATATCTAAGAATTTTGTACATAGCTTCTAGATGTTCTTCATTTGCCTTATTTTGAATTGGCTTACTACACCTACTGGAAAACTAATGTCCAGTCTAGTGTGAGTTAAATAAATTAATTTTCCCGCAAGTTTTTGATACCTTCCTGTGTCTATAAGAGCACTATCTTTCTTGAGGCCAACTTTGTAAAGCTTTCGTGGGACTTTCAGCTGGTTTACATTCAAGCATTTTGGTTTCCTCCAGAAGATCAAGAGTATATTTCCTTTGTGAGACAGGTACCCCAATCAATGTTGTTAAAACGTAGAGTCTATGTAGAAACGATATGGGTGAGCAAAAACGTAAAATCGTGAAACGTAAACGAAACGTAAGAGTTTATTACTTACTAAAAAAATATATCCAACATATATATATATATATAATATATATATATATATATATATATATATATATATATATATATATATATATATATATATATATCCAAAATACACCAATACATAAGTCATCACAAATTTAAGTTTAAACACTAAAGAAAATAAAATAAAATAAGGTGGAAGTAGGATAATTTAAATCTAATCTGTTAATTATTACAACAATTGCAATTAACAGATATTATGAAAAAAAGAAAATCTACAATGCATCGATTAATTAAGTTGAAGTGTGTTTAAAGCCAAATAAAAAAATGATTTAGACTTCAAGTTGCGATTGCAGATTACGACAACACAAATTATGCGATAGCTCAGGCCCAAGATAAAAACCTAATTCCATTCAGACATTCAGTCAATAGTTTCAAATTTAAAAAAAAAAAATAGTTAAATGAATGATAGGCAGTTAAGCACAAAGAATAGAGAACTCTATAAATAAAACCTTACGTTGTTTTTTTCGAAAGATTAAGGAGAGAGAATATGAGATGGCAGCGAAGAGGGTGAAGAAGCAAGCAAGGAAGAAGCAAGAAAACCTGCTTCCTGCTTGAAGACAACGATGAAGAAGACACGATTTCGTTGTTCCTTGCTGCCTGCTGTCAAGATCTGTAAGGAAGGATGACAGGGAAGATTGAAGAAGCAAGGAAGGACGCTGCTGCCTGCTTGAACACAACGATGAAGAAGACACGATTTCTTTTTGTTATAAACAATGAGGAACGACAACGATGACAGCAAGGAAGGATGCTGCATTTTAGATGACGGCAGCACACATGAATGGCGAGTAGGGTTTTATTTTTGTTTTAATTTGGGGGGAACTTGATTTCTCAAAAATACCCCAGATTTTTTTTTTACTGTTGTAAATAATAATTATTTAGTTATTTATTTGTTGTATTGGGCCAAGCCCATTAGGTCAAAATTAGGTCAAGTATTCTCTATAAATAGAGAACCCTTTGTACAGATTATTTACAATTAATAATATATCAGAATAACCTTTTTCAAGTTGGTATCAGAGCTCTCGATCCTGAGGGCTCTGCTTCCGCGTTTTATTCTTTTCTTCTTCTCTCTCGCTGCCATCAACCGCCACCGGAAAAATTTTCCGGGGACCTCTTGGACCGAGAAGACCACTGTTCACCTTGTCTTGTTCCAAACACCTTCAGCCACATCACTGTTCATCGCACAAGAAGGCCACCATACACAAACAACCTTGTTCATTGCACAAGAAGGCCCCTTTTCCGACGTCCTTTCACCTTCGACCTGATCCAGAAAGGACCGCGCTCCTCAGACGACCAAGCCACCGAAATTAGCCCAGAAAGCCTCCGGACGCGCCTGCACGCGCCACCACTTCCACCGCGAGTGACACCCACGCGCAGACAGCTTCACCGGTGCGTGGCAGTGCGTGGCTTTGAATCTCCGCCGCAGACCACTGCCGTTCTGATCGTCTCTTTCCCTTCGTTCTGGATCTGTGCTTTTCTCCCAGATTGGACGTCGTTTGGTATTTTTTTGTGATTTTTTGGCTTCTTGGTACTATTCTTTGAGTATTTCTTTGCAGTATGGCCGCTTCCGACACTGATTCAACTCTAAACACATCTGAAAAAAATTCTACCCAATCTGTGGTGACCCCTCTTGGTCACAATGATCTTCCAAGTCTACATCAGAGCTATCGATTTGATGGATCAAATTATTTATCGTGGTCTCAGCTCATTCGTACTACCATCAAGAGTCGCAATAAGATTGCTCATCTTGATGGCCCTGCTCCTACTGCCACTGATCCTAGTTTTCCTGTCTGGGATAATGAAGATTCTCTTATCATGACTTGGTTGTGGAATTCGATGACTCCTGAAGTGGGTCGTCACTGTATGTTCCTGTCTTCTGCTATGGAGATTTGGGAAACTGTCCGCTCCACTTATTCCTTGAAACAGGATATGGCTGCGCGCTATGAATTGCGCAATAAAATATTCACTACAAAACAAGATTCTTTATCCGTGACTGAGTACTATGGCACCTTGAAGGAGTTATGGACTGAACTTGATCAATTTCAGACTTTGAAGATGAAATGTACTGCAGATGCTACTGCTTTAGCCAAGGAGGTGGAAAATGAGCGTATTTTTGATTTTCTTGCTGGTTTGAATTCCGAGTATGAACCTATTCGGGTTCAGATACTTGGCAAAGAAACTTTTCCATCCCTTTCTGTTGTTTTCAATACTGTTCGGGGAGAGGAGAATCGTCGGGGTGTTATGATGAACCCTGATAAATCTGTCATGTTATCATCAAATGATGGTGCTGCTTCTAAACCCACTGATGGGTCTGCTATGATTTCAACAAAAAAGGATGGTTCTACTTACAGGAGTTCCTTTCCAAAATATTCTGATGGAGCATCTTCTAGACCTAAGAAAGATGATCGCTGGTGTTCTTATTGTAAAAGAACAGGTCATATCAAGGATCTATGCTATCGCCTCCATGGAAAACAAACTGTCTTAGAAAAGATGGCAATGATGCGTGGTCAAACGCATTTTACTTCATCTGATATAGCTCCTGCACCTAATGAGACCCAACCTGCATTTCGTCCAGATGAGTTGGAACGACTTCGGACCATACTTGATTCTCTGAGTAAGCCATCTGGTACTAGTGATTTGGCTATGACTGGTATGAGCTCCAAAATTTCTTCTTTTCTTACTTCATGTATTGATTTTAAACATTCTTGGATTGTTGATTCTGGTGCTACTGATCATATGGCTTGTTGTGCTGACCCCTTTGTCTCTTATAACCCTACCATTGACACACATACTATAGCCGTAGCTGATGACTCACATACATCAGTTGCGGGTTCTGGTAACATAAAATTACAGCCTTCCTTACATCTCAAAGATGCTCTTCATGTCCCTAAACTTTCTACTAATCTTCTTTCTATTCATAAAATCACAAAAGATTTAAATTGCACTGTAACCTTCTTTCCTACTCACTGTGTTTTTCAAGATCTCGCCACGGGGAAGACGATTGGGGGTGCTAAAGAGCAAGGTGGGCTGTACTATCTGGTGTCACAATCTCCTGCAACTCATGTTAAGGATCACATCTTGCTATCACATGGCCAGTCAACTGCTGATTCTCTGATTTGGCTTCATCATAAGCGCTTGGGACATCCTCCGTTTAGTTTACTCAAGTCTTTATTTTCGTCTTTGTTTTTGTCTAAGTCTGTTGAGTCTTTTCATTGTGATGTTTGTGAGTTTGCTAAGCATCATCGTGTGTCTTTCCCTTCTAGTAGTACTAAAAGTGTTGAACCTTTTGATCTTATTCATTCTGATGTTTGGGGTCCTTCTAAGGTCCCTCATTCTTCTGGAAATAAATGGTTTGTTTCTTTTATTGATGATTGCACTCGTGTAACTTGGGTTTACTTAATGCGTGAAAAGTCTGAGGTACCACAACTGTTCTTTCAATTTTATAAAATGATTGAGACTTAATTTTGTAAAAAAATGAAAAGACTAAGGACAGATAATGGTACCTAATATGTCAATCACTCTTTTTCCCAATTTATACAAAATCAAGGTATGATTCATGAACTTACTT